CCACGACTCGATCATATGGAAGCTGCCAAACGAGTCCTTCGTTACTTGAAGGGTCATCCTGGTCAGGGTATTCTTTTGCGTAGTGACAGTTCCTTACAGTTATCAGCTTATAGTGATTCCGACTGGGCAACGTGTCCCCTCACTCGCCGTTCTGTTAGCGGCTATTTTATTCTCCTTGGTGGTTCCCCGGTTTCTTGGAAGACGAAGAAACAAACCACCGTGTCCCGATCTTCAGCAGAGGCCGAATACCGTGCTATGGCTAATGCATGTGCAGAAGTACGGTGGATTCGTGGTCTTCTTGGGGCACTCGGTGTTACTCCATCCACCGACGACACCTCGTCTGTTTTGCGATAATAAGTCCGCTCTGTTTATTGCTGCTAATCCTGTCTTCCATGAGCGCATGAAACACATTGATATCGATTGTCATATTGTCCGAGAATGTGTTCAGCGCGGTGAGCTCGCCACAGCATATGTTCCAACTCGCTTACAGATTGCTGATTTATTTACTAAAGCCTTGAACAGACCACTCTTTGCGTTCTTACTATCCAAGTTGGGCATTTGTGATCTCCATGCTCCAACTTGAGGGGGAGTGTTAGCATATATTTGTTTATTTATTAATTTCTTTGTATGTATTTATTTCCTTGTAAGTAATCCTTACCATATTTGTATTAGGAAACTTGCTTGTATATATTCCTTGTGAATACTCAATGGAAACCAATTCAGTCTTTCACAAATTTCTACATTTTTTATTTATTCTTTACCTTGATGTATTGGTTAAACCAACATAATTATGAATTAAGACCTCATTAGAATTTAACTAGGGACCAAATGAAGGCAAAATTCTTTTTGCTTGTCAACAGTATCGTTTTTCCCTTAATCTCATCTCATTTGAGAATCAAAATTCTTTTCGCTTTTCAATAGTATTGTTTTTCCCTTAATCCCTTTAAATTTCAAAGTCAAACTGCCACCAAATGAACTTAAAATTTTCACATCGGGTCTTTTGGGTTGTTAAAGTGCATCCCACATAGGAAATTTAAGAGGAAAATAATCGGTATATAAGCTCTTGAGTTGAACTAACTAATCGATTGGATTCAATCTTTTAATGTGGTTCAACCGAAGTGTCTTATTGCCCAATCCAGTTGTCCACACCCAATCCTAAATTTATCATGGTATCAGAGCAGGTTTTGGCCCACCTCGTTTGTCAAGGTGTCCGTCTAGACGTTCATTTCTAGCGGCCCGTTAGTATTTAGCCCAGTTATCCGTATGAAGTATGTACCCAACGGCCTGTGATCCGTTTAACACGATCGCTCGTCTGGAAGTCCAAACCCAGCGGCTCGTGGTCATTTAAGGTGTTGGCACTAAAAAAACAAGAGAATGGAAGTTTATTTGCAATTAGTCAACCGGTTAGATTCAAAATGACCCGGTTATCCACTTGAGGGGGAATGTTAAAGTGCATCCCACATCGGAAGTTCAAGAACAAAATAATCGGTATATAAGCTCTTGAGTTGAACTAACTAATCGATTGAATTCAATCTTTTAATATGGTTCAATCCAATTGTCTTGTTGCCCAATCCAGTTGTAATAGATTTCTTTTATTAGATCAATGTCATAAAATAAAAATTAAGGGTTGAATCAATAAAAAATGTGTCATACAAATACACGCGAGAATTATGAATTTCATCACTTTTTTGTTATCTCTTGTATCACTCATTTAGGCAAGGAAGTTAGGAAGATACGGGGCAGCAGTCAAACAATAATGCGTGGGGCCAGGTCAAGGGCTCACATACTACAGACAACGCCTAGCCTATCCATTCATGATGTGACTATTAGATACATCTGCCCCATCAATATTGTTCTTCTTCTTTCTTTTTGTACAATTTGACTTTTCGGTATATCTATAAGATATAAAAATTATATATTAAAAAATTATGTTAAAAATTTAATAAAATAAGATATTACAAAAATATTTTATTTTACCTAAGAATTATTGAAATAACATTAACAAACAAAAGTTAAACAAACAAATGTAATCAAATTGGGAACAAATTGGGAATAGAGGAATTAAAATATAAACTCAATTATCTTCAAAATGTATTACTCTGTCCAAGCATCTGAGATCTTCACATTACGTGTTACGAAATTTGACTAACTTAATTTTAAATTTATTTTTTTGATTATAGAGGAAAATTTTAAAATTAGAACTTATAAATTAAAATTTAAATGAAAAATTCTATATAACTAGAAGTGGCAAAAATATATTATTTTATGAAATAAGCAATAAAAATAAGCAAACAAAGTGAGTGTCTGAAAAGATTTATGTGACACGAAATAAATACACATTGGTACAATAAAATAAAATACTCCGTATTAAAAGTTTCCCATGCTTTAAAAATTACTCCCTCCGTTCCAGAGTATTTGTCCACTTTCATTTTTACACACCATCCAAAACACTTTTTTAATCCATTTTATCTTGTAATTTGTATATTAAAAAATTATAGAAATTATATATTAATAATTTATATGTTAAGATAAATCAAACAAGATCACACATGACTATATTTATCCATTACACTGTTTTTCTAAATTGAAATTCAAAGATCATTTTACTAAATTGAAAAAATTAAACTGGACATGCAATGGTAAAAAATTATCAAAACCGTGCATTTTCGAAACCGTGTAAGTCGCTGACTCTACTAGCCGGCTTCTTCTTCATGGCTACTTTAGCCAGCTTCTCCGCCGCCCTCCATGCTGAAGTCGGCGTTAGCGGCTCGCCGTCTTCATCCGCGAACTCCGCCACCTTCCGCCGTTGGATCCCCGTCTTCTTCCACGGCAGATTATGCTTTCCAACATGCACTTCCGTCAACTCGCCACCGCCCAACCCTCTGACACACTCGTAGCACGAGCCGTTATGAACTCGCATTCCCCGAGTGGCGACGAAAGAGTTTCTCAACCGTTGGATCTCCAACGAAGAAGATGATCCGACGGCTTGTGGCCTCGGTAATAACAGACACTGCTCTCTGGCGTTGACCATATCCTGCGTGGCAGGGTCAATGTGACAGCATTTTAATGACAACACGTGGTGGGACCCAACTGCAGCGGATGGAACCCTCACTTCCACGAGTAATTCTCTCTCCTCATCCGCGTATAGGTCTCCCAGCCGGACGGAGCTCCGGTTTTGAACCGCCGGTCGGCCGTGGTAGGAATAAACCGCCACCACCTCGGCCTGTTCCCGGGTCGAGGTGAAACCGAGTTGGATTCGCAGATCTTGAGCCACCACACTCAGTAATCCTCCCAAGCATTTTGAGAAGGCATCCACATTCGGGGAGTGGCTATAGCCAGCTTTCCTCCCTAAGCCGGACGAGCCGACCGGGATTTCAATGTGGGAAAACCGGGTGGAGGACGGCTTGACGGTCTCTCGGCGGCCGTCCGGTTCGCCGGTTTTTGGAACTTGATCGTCTTGTCCGTCTGATAATAGCATAATACTCGCGACCGGGTTTTTCTCGCGCCGGTCTTCAAGGACTTTAGCGGCTTTCCTCAGAGCATCGCCTACGCAAGTCCCTTGGCTACACACAAGCCGGTCAACGATCTTTCTGGCCGACTTTTGACCCTGCGCCGTCATTCTCCTCAACGGAAGCAGCCGTTTTGACGTGGCGGCGAAAGCCACGATAGAAAGCCGGTCGGCCGAGCCGAGAGAGGAAATCACCAAACCCATGGCTCGTTTCAACATCTGTAGCTTCGGGCCGTTCATGCTTCCGCTGACGTCGAGCAGAGTCACCAGATCGATTGGCGCCCGTCGCGCCGTGTCGGAGAACTGACCGGAACCGCTGCTCCCATACCCCGCCGGCAGTTGCGGCGGCGGCGCTTTCACCTTTAGAACGACGGCGTAGGTCACATGCGTTCCGCCTACGGAGACAATAGCGGCTTCGGGCAATATCGTAAACTCCACGTCCCTTGTCTCCTTATGATGATTCGCTGAGACTTCGTCGCTTGAAACCGGATTTACGAGGAATCCCTGAAACTCTTCCACCTCTTCATCCTCCATCTCGTTCACCTCATTATTCGCCGTAAACTTCCCGGAACCGGCGGCCGGAAAATGTAACGGCTCGTCATCATCGTACGTCTTCAAACAAGTTCCCTGCTGTTTGATGCTTGGGAGATTCTCCGGTTCCGTTTTTTCTCTGATGATTTTATTCTGTTCAACCTGTTCTTGTTCTCGCTCAAAGCCCATTTCTTCTCTCCGACTAAGAAGGTGACCGGAGAGCAGGGGAACATCTTTCCAGACGCGGTTGCAGACAGGACAAAACAGAGTGCTCTGTTTTCTGGAGTGGGAGACGATGCAGGGGAAATGAAAAGAATGCGAACATTCCGCCGTGTAAATCGCCATCCCCTGCCCTGTCTTCACACTATGCATACAGATTCCGCAGCTATGCTGCACCCAAACAAAATAAAACATTGATTTCCCTCTCTGTAAGCAAAGATTAAAAGTTCAATACGTTTCTGAAAATCTAACCTTAGATAGACGGAGAGTGTTCTTGAGGATTGAAAAGGGGGATCTGGGTGATGCAGGATTGGAGGGCTGAGAAAATCTGGGGGTCTTGGAATTGGAAGAATTAGATTTGGGAGTGGTGGTTCTGCAATGGAGGTTTGGAGTAAAAACATCGCCGTTGTTATCATCATTATTTGAAGAAGCAGAGGTAGTTTTGCAACGCAGGCTAGGTTCATGATCTTGAAGAAGATGTTTATCCCCAAATTTGAGCTCCCTATCTCTTGGGATTGTTGTGCAGAAAGCTCTTCTCCAACCAGTACCCATTTCTGAAGAAGGAAAATGGTGGTTTTTTTGCTTGCAGAGATTGTTACTGGAGAAGAAGATGAATAAAAAGGGAAGGGGAATTGAAAAGGAGGATCTTGGAAGTGGATCTGGTGGAGATGGTGACAAAATAGCAATTGTGAGGAAGGTGAAGATGATAAAGAGGAGTAGAGGTCGAATATGGGATGGGGAAATTTAAATGGCAGTAGAGACAAACTAAGTGCAGAGGATTAAATATAACGAAATCCCAGCCTCAGGGTTTGAGGATCTCCTCCATTTTTCCTATTGTATTTTCGCATTTGAAAATGACAGATACGTCCTCACTCTTATAGTCTCTTTTAAAATCTTCTTTGCCATATATATTGCTCAACTGGTTTAAGCAGGGAATCTCAAGCTCGTTGATCTATTATTTGTAATAGCTCCTTATGCGCATCAAGCACAGAGCGACTTCTCTAAGAACCTGATTGAGATTATACCATGATTTATCTCATTCACAAATCTACCGGACTAGGGTGTGGGGTGCCCTGGGTGGGCGTTCCACCTTTTTTTCTTTTAAAATCTTTTTGTTTACAAATTTCTATAGTGAGGAAGCTCGTTGATCCTAAGGTCGAATCCCGACGGCGGCAGTGTGAGAGTTTCATTATTTGTCATAACTCGTGCGCACCGGGCACGAGATGGCCTTTCTAAGAACCAGATTGGATTATACCATGATTTATCTCTCTCACAATCCTCTCGGGCTGGGGTGTGGAGGCGCCTGGGGTGTGCTTTCCCACTTTTTTATACGAAGTATTTTAAAATCTGTTTGTTCAAAAATTTCTATAGTGAGTAATAAACAATACAAGTATATATTAAATATTTAAAAATAACATTACAAAATTTATTAATAAAAAGATAATATAAAATTTTATTTTATCAAATAATCAATATACAATTTAACAAAATATATTGACATTTAAAAAAATCAAAATAGTAATTTTAAGGAATATTCTAAAATAGAAAGATATTCTTTTTTCAACCATACTTAAATTATACGGTGTACTAGTACTATTTAACCCTTCTCCATATAATATCAATTAAGGTTGATACTAAAGGACCTTTAGAGTTGGATATCAGCTTTTTTCTAAGAAAAATGTTATGGGTATACTAAAGGTATATCCAAACATACACTAAAGGCACACACACACACAGAAGGTTATACTGAATAACGAATTAGGTCACAAATAAAGATGACAGAAATGATGATGAAACACACATGCAACCATACGAAAAATTTTAAATTATTCTCTTTCAAAAGAAGAAGAGAAATTATTTATAACTAGTAATTCACCCGTGCTATGCACGGGAAATTATTTTTCATTTCATTTAAAATTTTGGGTCTAGAAATAAAACATTAGTCTGTGCTTCGTATATTCTTATGTAATTATAATTAAAGTTAAATATGTTTTTAGTCCCTCTAAAACATACTCCATCCCTCCTTGAAAGTAGTTCCCTTATTCATTTTTTAAAAATTTTTATTCACCGTAGTCAAACTTTTACATTTGTGTGAGAAAAATGAGTGTTCAAAGTATACATTGGGAAATTAATCCACGACAAGAAAAAAACATGTTAATAGAAGTAGAGTTACGTGAAAAAGACTAAAGTAGGTATAAAACATTGAAAATATATTACTCCGTAAAATAAGACTTCCATATTCTTATTTTGGTGTGGCGCCCAACATATTTGACAATTATGGTGTATTGGTGTTTAATTTTATTGTTTCTTTGAAATAAATCAACATTTTTTAAAAATAATTTGAATAACTACTACTAATCACACAGATTATTCCCAAACCAGTTCAAATTTATTACTAACGGTACATAGTCAATCCTCATACACATTTGTCCGACCTTTTTTTCACATGGTCTCCTACATGAATACCGATAATTGAAAACAAAAGAATACAAATCTTATGAAACTATTTTCCTAGTAAGAAACATTGTTTATCATATACTCCTCTCGTCTAGAAAAATACTTAGGGGCTGTTTGTTTCAGCCTCTTAATGATTCAGATGTCTGAATGGTTCAGCACTTAATGGTTCAGACTGTTTGTTTCAGCCTCTTAATGGTTCAGATGTCTGAATGGTTAAGAGATTTGCCTTTGAATGGTTAAATATTATACAGAGTCTGAATGGTTAAGACCTCTTATCTGAATTGATCAGACATTTGCCTCTGAGTAGTTAAGCAATATACTAGCTCTTAATGGTTCAGACCTCTTACTGGTTCAGCACTTAATGGTTCAGACCTCTGGTTCAGCACTTACCGATTCAGAAGTTGCCAAACAGCCCCTTACTCTTTCATTTTTTTCTCTTCCACCAAAATATTTCCATTTTCTATTAAAAAACTACTTTTACCCCTATTTCTTTACCCTACCTATCACATCATTTTGTTTCTTTAATAATTTATCCATCATATCTTATTTTTACTAATCACATCAAGAGCAAAATTAGAATCAACTACTTTTTTACACTTATTTAGCACTTGATCAAAATGAGAACTGTTTTCAAGTACGAATGGGAGTAGTATAAACGTTTATCTCAAAGGAAGCTTTAATTAATTTACGGAGTATAATGGACAAGATTGTGCACCAATTAATTAATTAATTAATTAATACAGCTTAAATAATTAAGTCATTTGGGCAACGGATTAAATAATCTGATTAATAGTTTCAAATTTTGGAAAAAGATTTGAAAATGAAAGTTTTCCTACCGGCGGGTGGACGGCGGGTTGATACGCTGCCATTTTCAGCGCACATGCGATGAACTCAAAATTGCTCCCTTTTTTTTTTTGAGAAAAATTGTTTCACAAGTTTAATTCTCAAAGAAATAGCAGCGTACTTATTCAAATTCAAAATTTGCACTAAATAGGACTAAAACATAAGTCATTTTCAAATATAGGACTTAAATTTTTTTATTACCTAAATAGGACTTAATAATGTCTAGTGGAGGAATAATATCCAGTGACGGTTAACATTTACTTGAATAATGACTAATAGATAATGACTAATGGTCCTACATTGAGAAATAGAAACATATGATCCTATACTATGAAAGTGAATATGTTTTAGTCCTATTTAGGTAAATTCCCCGTAGGATGATATCAACAACTAGAATTACAATCATTATACATTTAATAAATGTTTCACTGTACATAGAGTTATTAGGAGTATAAAACTGTTAGTAGAAAGGTTGAACAGGCAAGAAACAAATTAATATTTACTGCCAAAGAAAATAATCCATGAACTTAACATTGTGTTAAAAGAAATATCATGAATAAATCAAATATCAAAATGAATTAAATACTGCCATATTGGGTTGAATATTTATAATATGTAGACATAATATTTACTCCATTGGAGTTATTTAAACAAGTTGGAATTGCATACATTATAATTGTTCAGGTATGATGACAAATCTTGGAGACCGGAGGGCTTGATTATGGCATGCTTGCTTGGAGAAGAGGTGAACTGGTTTCATTAGCTTCTTAGATGCACATAACAATTTGCATTACTGCCATTAGGAGTAGTCAATTGTTGTCCAGGACATGTATCAAGTTGTATAACATCAAGTTTTATTCTAACAACTTTATTACCCCGAGTACAAAACATTATATGTTCATACATTCTTAACCTATTAAAGCAGATAGAGTTACTGTTCATACATTCTTAACCTATTAAAGCACATAGAATTACTGTTCCCACTGGTGTTTGAACTTGTGACCTCCTATTTCAGAGAGTCACCTTGGTATCCATTCTTAGTTTATCTCTTCAAAAACTTCACCTGTATGATTAAATTTTATCTCATACTATTTGTTTGACACAAGTGGATTTTTGATGCCAAACTCATCTTCTTCACTGCATCAACTTCGGTTACAAATTGACTAAGTAAAAAAACAATAAACATCAATGAAAATGGAATCCACAGTTGAGAACTCAAAATGAAATTGGTAGTACCATTTCTTATGACAGTTAAACAACAAAAAATTATACACTAATAATACAGGTTGCGCCAGGCATATGCGTCTATGTTCTCCACAGTGAAAACAAAGTAAGAGTACAAAAACTTATGACCTTTGCGTAGTACTAAACCTTCATGTGTTGTCTCGTATGTTTTCGTTGATGTTCCCATGCTTCGGTATTTAATGCGTGGCAATGCGCAGATAATCCATTCCAGTGTCGACAGGGAGCAGAAACATCGCACACATAGCAATAGCACTAACCAAACAGCAAAACCAAAACAAGCTGGTTTAAGGTCTAAAAATGTTTTTTTTGGAGTCAATCAATGTGAAAGAAATGGTGATAATGATGTTACCAGATTACAGTGTTTCTCATGAGGTGTTGTGTTAAAGGGGAACTTAACACAGGTATGCCTTGGGTGTGGAAAATCTCTACATGCCACCACCTATACCAAAAACAAGAAGTGCTGTCATAGATTATATTGGACAATTGACATTCAAAGCTTGTTTCTCATAAATGCATACATACTTGAAGGACAATTGACATTCAAAGCTTGTTTCTCATAAATGCATACATACTTGAAGGACAATTGACATTCAAAGCTTGTTAAGATCATTGATCAACCAAAGTTAATACCCTATCTATCCAGATCTAATTGTCCACCTTCCAAAGCATCAAAAATTTAAAGAATGAATTGAAATTAACAAACAAAAAATACCAATTCGTTCTCCATCCATTCTACAACAAAAAACCTAGTAAAATTTCACAAAAGATAGGGTCTCAGGAGTATGAGTACGCAAACTTAGCCCTACTGAGAATAGAGAAAGTTAGTTTACTAAATACTTATAGATAGACAATTAATTACAGATGCAACAAAAAATAGAAAATGCACTGCTAATATTGATGAGGGATTATAATTATAAATTCATAACTTGATACAAGAAGCATAAGATTACAAGATTACACAAGTCAAGAATCAAAATGAATAATAACAATTTGGTTAAACACAGATGGATACAGAGGCCGAATTGCACAAGAATAAAATCATTGATGGTCGCCCAAGATGAAATTAAACAGCAGACAATGAAGAGGTGGAATTTTTTTTTTAAAAAAAGAAGGTAAATGAAAACCTAGTTGCCAGATTTCTATGAAAATCACACAATTCATCATCAAAATCTCACTAAAATCAAACCAGTTTAAACTAAATGAATTGAGAGGAGCATATATACACTGCCTTTTTCTGCTACAACGGCCATTTCCGGATCCTGATAATCAGAAACGGAGCGTTTGGAATCGAAAGGATCGAAATCCAGAATAAAGCATTCCTCTTTATCATCGAATTCGCGCAGTTGCTCCCTTTTTTTCAGGCAGAAAACTGCTCTTAGCGGAGTGCCCTGTGGCTCATCGTCAGAAGCCGGGGAAGAAGAAGAAGACAAATCGACCACCACTGCCGGCGGGTTAATCTTCGTTTTCTTTTTGTAACCCATTTTTTGGGTGAAGATGGGAACTGTCTTCTGACGGTCGGTGCGGGAAGCTCTTAGGCGATCATATTTGAATTTTGAATTGCAGCGGAAGAGCGGCAGACGGCAAAGTTTCTCCCTGAGGAAGGAAACGAACAATGGGGTTTGTATAAGTCGGATTACCCTCTTTAGGGCAAAAATGTTGGGCAAAAAAAAGTGTAAATTTTACGGAGTATAATTAGTTCTTTTTATAATATGAAAATTTTATAATTAGTTTTCTATTATTAAATATTACGTTAATATTTTTTTATGTGTACTTTTTTACGGATAGTTCCTTTTTGACATAGTGTCATGTTATTATTTATTTAATGATTAAAAATATAATTTGACATCAAACATATGTATAGTAACATATTCTAAAGCGGTTAATTGGACCACACAATAATAATGATTATGACTGTGGACCAGAACTCTCATCAAAGATCAAAATGCTGAACTATGATTGTAGTAGACAGCGGTTTACAAATTATGCATCAGGAGCGATCACTGTCATTTTGTATTACAAGAAAGATATATGATCATTGTAAAATTATAATTTTAGTCCTCAAATTAGCACTAACATGACAGAAGATTAAAAAAGAACTATTTATAAAAAATGTACTCATAAATAAATGACCACAAACGTAATATTTGGTAATAGAGATGCTCATACTTCCTTCGTCCCATAAGTAAAGAGGCACTAATTATTTTGGTCTCTCAAAAACTTTATTTATATATACATTAAACTAATTATTCAATTAAATAAAATAGAAATCTCAAGTTTTGTATACATTTTCACATATTTTTTAATATGTGAATTTTTATTTAATTAAATACCAATATTTTTAAATAAAATAATTTAAAAAGTGTAGGATATTTGAATATGATACGGCATTTTTTTAACCTAAAACCAAACTTATATAAATTCAAAGTAATCCAAATCCCAAAAAAATGCATCTAACGGTGAGACCGAACCAACCTATTTATCGGCTCTATAAATAATGATACTTTCATCATCCTAAAATATCAACTTATCTTAAGAAATGACTACGTTTTTTATTAATATTGTACAACAAGTATGATTGACTAATTGATGGATGTAAGAATTTCATTCAATCTAAAAATTTAACCTCAAAGTCAATTAAATTTGGAGATGGAATTAAACAAGTGTAGGAATGAGTTCGAGTTGTATTGGAATAGGATAGTTTACCAAGAGTTTAGACGGTGAACGGTGAACCATTGCTTTTTTTATCGAAGCACCTAAGAAAATCTCATTTCGATTGTTGTCATGTTATGACACTCAAATTTGAGTGTCAGTATAACCTAGCCAATTAGAATAATATAGCCTTATCATTTCTTGTTTTATAGAACATTTAAACTCCATAATATTTTTTAATAAATAAATTTTGTAAAAGTTTTTGTATAGTTCTTTTTAAATAAATTGAATAGAACATGATTTTAGTCAACCATCATAACTCATTCTCTAAATTTAGCTGGAGGAGTATTAACCATAAAAATTACTAAAAACAATATTTTAGAAGTATTTTTTGACATATATTATGCTGCCCCAAATTAAACTGTGTATTTCAAATTACTCCGTAGAATGTTTGTTAAAGTTATTTTTAAATTAATTTGTTTGAGAATTGGAGTGAAATAAAAAAAAGTATATATTTAAAATTATATAAAAAATAACAAAACAAGAAATGACATGATTATATTACTCCCTCCGTCCCATTTTAAATTGTCTGTTTGCCTTTTTTCTCCGTCCTAAAATAAGTTGCCTGTTAGTTGTTTTCGTATACTTTAAAAAATAAAATACCTAAACTACCCCTAAAATAAGTCACTTTTCTTCATCATATCTTCTCATTCATCATCGCCCTTTCTAAAAAGTAATGACAATTTTGGAAAATCAACTCTATTTTTTATTTTACTTAAATATGCCCAAAAATCAAAACAGGCAATTTAAATTGGGACGGATGGAGTATTTTATTAAATAAATAATAAGAATAAATAAAAAAAAGTTTAACTATGTAATAAAACATTTTACTTTAGGAAGAGAGTAATTTTTATTGACAAATGTGAAGTATAGTACTATGTTATGTGTGTGTTTGTGCATAGTAGCCTGTTCACGTGAGAATCCTGCACCGTGCAGTTCAGATTGCATCTCGCGTTCAAATTTTGAGATAGTGCATTTTCAAAAGATTTGGTGCACCTAATTTTGATGTAATCTTAACCCTTAGATCTCACAATTTAAAACACCAGATTCATTCTTATTTCTTTCATAAGATCATATTTTCACCAAAAATACGACACGAAAAAAACAGACTAAAAAGTTTTAAAAAAAACAAAGTATAAATATAAATAAATAGGGTCCATAGTATAGGGAGTATTATTTGTCTCACCTAACAGCACACAACAATAGAGGNGGGGGGGGGGGGGTGTCGGGGCAAGCCAAGGTGTGAGGGTTTTTTTCGTAGAAAAGGATGAACCTCATCTCTGAGGGCTCCCTGAGACCCGATCGGACGGTCAATGAGAGGATGTGAGACTGGGATGTGGGGGGTTTAAGGAGAGCTATTATAACCAAGCTGCTGTTTTATATTCTTCAAATAACTCACAATTACACAATGGCTAGTATTATTGAGGACCTAACATTCACACCATTTTAGGTGGACCTTCATAGGAGTGGTAAGCAAACGCTTATTACCTTGATAAGCACTTTTTTTTTTGCAAAATAATATGCAAAAAAAAGGTTATCAGGATAGTAAACATGATCAAATAAGAGAGTAGTAGATAAAGTAATGCATTATAGAGAGGAATAAGAGCAATAAGAGCAGAAATGAAAAATTTAACCACAGGGTCATAAATGTGTACTCCATCTACCAAACCTAAGAATAAATGGAATAGAATATGCAGTACTCAAATCGGAGAGGACTCCAGAGGAGACGTCATCAGGTAATGGAACAAGCACACATTTATTCATTTGAAAAAGGACATTGACTTTGGTTTTTGGGTGCAAAGACGAGGAACAACAAAAGTTAACCGCAATCTTTGTCTTCAGTACACACACACACATACACACAATAAAGTTCAACAATAACAATAACAGGCTGGCTTTACATCCTAATACTATTCATCTAATGAAACTTGGGAATTCATCACATTATGAGTAGTATTACAGCACACACAGCTGAAGAAGGAATATGAATCAATCACGTGAGCGAAAATATAATTGAGGTAAATAGAGCCTACCGATGATATCGGCTATCCGAAGCCAGCACCCAATTAGTAAATGTGCAACTTCTTAACCAAAGACAGCCGAAGGTTCCTCTGATATTTGTTGGGTGGCGGATAGCTTCAATCATGTGCAGGTTATGTCACCTATATCCTGGTTCGGCATTTCTCCATGGCCCTTGGGGCTGCAGAATTTAAGCACAAAGTTATGAGGAAAGACTTCTGTGGAACTGAAAATAACAGAGTGGACATTACCTATGTGAACATTAATTACTCACATAGAGAAATCGTAATTAGAAACCGACATAGGATCCTTTTCTCATTTTTTTTAAAAATGAAATTTCTGGATAGCAAAAGATGTGGGAAAATGATACTGCACTTGTTTTAAAAAAACCTCCATCCATCCGGCAAAAATCTTACTTTTTCCCTTTTTGGACGTCCCAAAAGAACTTCGCACTAACTTTATTTCCTTGTACACTATGTTTGGTTCATGGAAATCGGAAGGAAAAGGAAGAAGTTTCTCTCTTTTTCCTCACCAAAATGGAAAGGAAGATGTTTACCTTCTTAGAGCATGTTCTAGGATTGGAAAGAAAGAGTTACGTGTTGGAAGAAACTTGAAAAAACTGAAAGCAATTGGAAAAACTAGAAGAAACTGAAAAAAAAATTGGAAAAATTTGGGAAAAACTAAAACAATCTGGAAAAAACTAGAAGGAACTTAAAAAAATTACTTAAGTCTATTTTTCATATTATTCTTATTATAATTGTTTGTTGTTATTATTATTATTATTATTATTAACATAATAATGATTATTATTATATAATTAACATTATTATTATTAAAATTATTATTATTATTATTATTATTATTATACTCATAATCATCGTTATCCTACCTCATGTCTATTCATAATTCTATTCGTCTTCATCGGAAAAGAATACCAATTTTACCAAGACAACCAACAACTGAAGTTAAGCCCAAGGTGATGGTGTTCAATAAAATAAAATAGGTACGATACTTAGCTTTTACAATATGATTGTGTTGAAATCGATTGAACCCATTGTGTTTATGTGCGCAACATTTTACATATTATAGACAATAAAAACTAGATCAAATAAAATAAAGTATTAATTTTTTTATAGTTTTATTTTAATTATCAATTATAATCTTTGTTATCTAAATTTGTTTTCTTACACAATTTTTGGGTCATTTTTTCTTTTCATAATGTAGTATGGAGTAGTATAATTATTAATTTTAAATTTTAAATATTGATGCATTCCACAACCCAATTTAGATTAAGAAAAAATAACCCTTTCCATATTTTTTAGAACATAGTTTAGTGTTATGTAAATTAATTAAAAAAAGTTGCATTATTTATACTAAAAAGTGGAAGAAAAAAATAATTATGAGTGTGAAACACAAAAACAATGATATGGGAAAAAAATTTAAAATAATTTATAAACTATAGTTATGAACATAATAATAATAATAATAATAATAATAATAACATGAAAAATACATCATTTTTAAATTCATTTTCCATACTATTTTCTTTTTCTTTCCCTTTCAAATTCTTTGAACTAACCAGTGTTAAAGAATTGTACATGTAGCTCACAAAAGTATCTCTCTTCTAAACAAATTCCAACCACACTTCACTTTTCAATATTTTTCTTAAGCTCCAACAAGTTTTTTATGGGGCATAGGGAGTATTCATTAACTATTAGGAGAAGCATGTAAGAGTTTATTCCATTTTAGTTTACTTTGTGTTGTAGTAAATCTTTTTCTCCTTCACATAAACCCATGTACTTCAATAGTCTAATTATTATATTAAAAAAATTAAAGCAAAGAATGTTTAAACACTAACCCAGTCCAATGGCATCAGAACCCTTCATGATTCTCAGCCTCTTACAAGTATCAATGAACATCCTGCAATTCAAACTTCAATTAGAAACATGCACATAAAGCAAACTACTAAATAATGTTGCACCGCTAGTCATGCAGTAACATTCAAACAGCTCATGCCTAGATGAATATAAAAAAAAATAACCAGGGTATAACCCCGTAGCATACTCAACCAGTCATGGAATATCGATCACTTGAACCCCTAGATGCTAACATGTTAACAGCTCAGAACAGTAATAAACAACGTTTTGGTGGATGTCATGCACATAGATATGACAATGTGTGAATACAGTTATACAGGTTATAACAAATGTGAAAGTATTGGTTCATGATGAAAGTATAAGGCAAACAATGACAGTATTGGTTTATGATGAAAGTATAAGGCAAATTGGCAAACAATGAAAGTATTGGTTCATGATGGATACATGGATGTCACCATCATTGCCAAGTAAACACAGTCCTTGGTATTATCTCTTAGGCTAAATGAAAAAAAAAAACCTAAACTTGTAGGGAAAGCAAAAGCATACAAGTAAAATTCACTTGAGCAAGTAAAATAATATGCTTATATGCAAACATAAGATCATTGAAAATGTATCCATTAGAAAACACAGAGCATACGAGAGCTAGCAATATCCCAATCATTGCCACAAGGTCCGCAGGTATCAGCCCATTCCCTACTATCCCACCCTTGTAACAAAATAACTGTTTTAATTTGTAATTTGTGTTTAGATGGTAGAGGGCACGAGGGGGTGGTTAAGGACCAAATATCCTAGCTCAGGACCAAATACTCTCTGTCATAAACAAGAGAAGCCCAAAGCTAGGATGACAATTTTTGGTGTGGAGGGGGTGAGGTAGTTAAACTTACTCCCAAGGGACATCGCCAACAAGCATCCAATCACCATCCTTATCCTCATATGTTAGAACATATTCAGATCCATGAATCAAATCCTTCAATTTGCTCTCGCTTAACATCTCTTTTCCTGTAGTTCCATGAGCTCCATATTGACCTGACCACACAGGATTATAGAAGTAACTCTAAACATACACATACAAACAAGCAAATATTTTTTCAAGCAAAATGCTAAACTGAAACATTTGATTCATCAATGCATGGAAGGTCAAAGGCAATCAAGAATGTGTGCGCTAGAAAGGACCTACGTCAGGACCGCAATGGAGGACATAAATTTTCAGGTTGAAGTCGAGCTACACCAATTATAGTATTATACACGCTAAGACCATTCATAATTGCTTTAATTTTAGGTGTGACTTCGAGAGGAATCCAGGAAAGTGTCACATGGTGTATTTTATTTGCATACGATATCTCACAAATAGCTGAGACGGAAAATAGATGAACGTGAAGTTGGAGCAGAGGAGGGGGCACTGGAAGCACGAGGCTTGTGTATTAGAGAGCAATTTTAATGGTGAGCACAATGAGAAATAATAAAAGCCATCATTAGAGAGCAAAAGATACCACGAAAACATAGTTTCAGTTTCCAAAGAGTGGACTCTATCAATCGAAAGAGGGAAACATGGAGCACAACTTGATACAGTTTTTTTTGAGCGAGGGGGGATGGCTGCTGCACAAATGTGGTGCAACAAGAACATTTCATTGAAACGAAAAAGCAAAAATATATAGGGTAGCCATCCCATCCACTATGATGTATGCGTCTCAATGTTGGACGATAGGGAAGGCCACGAATGACGTAGAAATGCAGGATGAGTAGTTGAGGTGGACATGGTGCTATGAGAGCCTTAAAGGTAACTGTAGTGTCGGCATACATCTCACCCTCCCAACCCTACTTCCTAGTGGGACATAGTGGGTATGTTAGATTTGGTTTTGTTAAAATTCTGAACTAAATCTAAAAAAACTCACCTATGGTAAAGCAGCTGAACATCTTTTCGAGAGCAGATGAGAGTTCCTGGTAAGCAGAGTACATTCTCAGGTCAACTTTCCTCAGATAAGGTGCACCATCCATGCTGACCTTAATAAGAAGAGCAGGTGATCCAGCTTTTCGGTCAACTTCTTCAGATTTCTTTGTAGCAGAAACCAATGTGTTCTTCCTGTAAGATCTAATTGGAGGCCAACCTACAACCTGAGCCCTGTTAACAAAGCAACAGCAGACTGAGTTGGCCAGGCATGACAATTCAGAGCACAAATATCTAGAGCCCGTTTGGTGAGGGTTATTAGGTGTATTCTTAATCTGCTTATTTTAGCGGTAAGAAGATTAAACCACTTTTGGTAACTAAATGGATCCTAAGCAGAAGATATCTCATATCTCCACTTACTTTGTTGCAGGAGCACTACCACTGTCTTGATTTGGAACATTATCATTCATAGCTCGAGGCCTCTCCAACATTGTGTTTTGGGTTGGCCCATCTTTCATAGTAGCCAGTTGCGAGCCTTGGTTCTCCTTCATTTGACATGTTTTGACACTTGAACTAGAGAGAAACTTGTCCTGCAGATAGTTCAGTTAGCTGTAGTTAGAGAACTTATATCATACGAAGTGTAAATGTTGGTTGTAGAACATAATTCACCTCCGAGAATCCATCCATAGCATCAGAAAACCCTCTTTTATTTCCAGAAACCACAGCCTTCTGTGATAGAACAAAGTTATTTTCCTTGGAAGGGCGCAGTGGGAAGAGTAGCTTCTCGTCAAGCTTAGTCGAGCTGAAATGGCAAAGATCGGCATCCCTGACTGGAGATTGCGATCCAGGAAGTCCAAGTCTGAGCTCAGTTGCCCTGAAAGTCAGTCCACACTCGCTATTGTTTTCTGATGTGGAAGAAATGTTGGAGCTATCCACAGACGAACAGTCGGACAATCCCATATAGTTCCACTCCTTCAGCCCTGCTCCATTCTGGCATACACTCTCTAGGGAGATAGGAGAAGCCATAAGCTTAACATTGCTTTGGCCCTCGTCATCCCCAATACTTAGCAGCGGTGGAGACATCACCCCTCTTGAATTATTCTCAATTCTCTTTTGTGCCTGGTATTTTCATGTTCCACAGAATCACAATCACCAATAAAGATGGGAGGAAAATTCTCCAAAAAAAAAAAAAAAAGTCGTCAAGCTGAAACCTAGAATCTCCTACTCCTCAAAAAAAGAAAGGAAAAAACAATAAAGGGTGAAAAAGTTCCGAGGCCAATAAACCCAAGCAATAACTCAACAACAGTACTCCACAGAAACGCCATTTAATTAACATAATAATATGAGGTACGGGTAACGGATTCGAATCTCCTGACCAATAACCAGCTCATTGAAATGAAAGCAAAAACAAAAACCACAAAAATCATATGAAAACAAGATCAACAAAAGTGACAACTAGATCTATGCAATGGAATCAAAACAAAGATAATAATCCGCAAATGCGACATGAATAACTTCGCGTAGATAAACAAAAAAACTCAAAAAAAATAAACAAAGACGGAAAAGTAGACAGATTATAGGGGAAAAAGTAATAACTTAGAATAATGAACTAGAATGGATGGAGTGAAGCAGAGCTCTGTGAGTAATACCTGGAAACGAAGCTTCTGGAACGATTTATGGAGGTAAACGAAGAAGATGATGACGATTACAGAGTTATTTGCGGAGAATTTCGTAGTGGAGAAGAGAAAGAGAAATGGAGAGAGAGAGAGATAAGGAGAAAGAAGTTATTTAGGGGCCATCCATGGCAGAAAGTTACAAATACTTTTTTGCTGTCCGCGAGCGATATCAAAACACTTAAATGCGTTTTTATTTTTAAAATTTTTTTTATATTTACAGACAGACCACTCGCCCCAACCCCTCAGCTCACAGTCCTCCCAAGTCCAAGCTTCGAGAAAGTTAAAGACTTTTTTTTAGATAAAAACAAAAAAGAAAGAAAATAAATCAATTCCACTGTTGAATGAGATTTTAATTCTTCTTTTCATTTTTTTTCATATACACGAGCAACAATTTTAATAAAAGCTCACAAATCAGCCAATGTGTGCTTTTAATACTTCAAGTAAAGTCTCACAAAACTTTTCTGATTTGACCTTTAAAGGATTTAAAAAAAGTGTATTTTGGTGTTGACTTTCCAAAAATACTATAGGGTGTAATGGATAAAAGTAGATGTGATGAGTATATTAATATTGAAAAGGTGTGATGTAAGAGGTAGGTTAAAAATTAGTAAGGGTAAAGTAACTTTTTAATAGAAATGAGAAAGATTTTTTGAAACGGATGAAAAAAGAATGAAGAAATAATTTATGGGACCGAGGGAGTAGGAGTATGTGATACACCAATAATACCAAGCATGTAGTCTCTACAAATATCAAATGATGTATGTTTCATACTCCTTCCGTCCCGCTATATTCGTCCACTTTTGACTTTTGAAACTGTTCATCTAAGCACTTTGACTCATCAAATTCTCTCAATGTGTAAGCCTAAATATAGTCATGCGTAATCTTGTTTGATTTGTCTTAACATATATATTATTAATATATAATTTCTATAATTTTTTAATATACAAATTACAAGATAAAATGGATTAAAGAAATGTATTGGATGGTGTGCAAAAATGAAAGTGGACAAATATAGTGGGACGGAGGAAGTATTTGGTTAGTCAATCACTTATTAAAGTCAAATTTCTTGTCCTCAAGTGATGGTCTGGTCGATTTTGAAAAACCTTAGTAATGGAACTCATCCTTTTTTGTAAAATCTCATAAATAATACTCCCTCCGTCCCGTTATATTCGTCCACTTTTGACTTTTGGAACTATTCATCTAAGCACTTTAACTCATCAAATTCTCTCAATGTGTAAGCCTAAATATAGTCATGTGTAATCTTGTTTGATTTGTCTTAACATATAGATTATTAATATATAATTTCTATAATTTTTTAATATATAAATAAAAAGATAAAATGGATTAAAGAAGTGTATTGGATGGTGTGTAAAAATGAAAGTGGACAAATACTCTGGGACGGAGGGAGTAAGTCAGAACATGATGTTATATGTAAATTTTACTCTTATTATTTTTTCCGCTTGGAACTATTTTTCTCATTTTGTGATACGAGATTTAATTCAAGTTATTTTATTTCAACTTATTTAATTATAAATATAAAATTTTAAAAAAATATTTGAAAATTACGTGAAAAGTTTTACAAAACATGATGTAACGTAACAATATTATACAATATTACAAAATATATAGTAAAAATAAATAAATAAAATGAATAAAGTTTGAGTATATATATCATAAATGAGAAGAACATTTTTAGAAGAAGATAGCATAATTAAGAATTACAGAGACTATTTTCAATAGATTTGGCACTCAAATAAGTGTTTTTTTCATAAATAAGTTGAAGAAAGTTCGGAGAAAAACTTTTTGTTTATTTTATTATTTCCTTTTTGAGTCATAAATTTTGTTAAAATTCTGCTAGACTGAGAACAACAGGTAAAATGTCAGGTAAAATTTGATAATGATTGACCTTATTGAATCATAAAGGTTTCAGAATATAGAGTATCCTAAGCATAATAGATTAAAAATATTGTAGCACTAGAATAAAGAAAGCAAATAATAAATATATTTTATTTCATGTTATTCCAAAAATTCCTGATAATAACCCACTTCCATAACAACCAAGAAGAATCGAATTGAATCTGGAACTGACATGTTCCGATACCATGTTCATATTTGGTGGGCCAAAAACAATGAACATAGTGTCGAGTAAAATGATGTCTTACATATAAAGTTCGGATCTATTTTATAAATCAAAATTTTAAACTAATAGGTAGAGATTTATTATTCTAGTTACATTTCATTACTTTTTTACGAGTATATAACAACATCAACAAACTCACATGATTTTTCTTCCATTTTAATAAAATCTCAACCATATAATGTACTCCGTATTTAAAAAAATTTACTCCATAACACTATTCTTGAATAGTGTAAACTCAAATTCTATAATGTTTTTTGGAAAAGAAAGAGTAGATGCTAGCTTAGTAAATTTTTTGAGCGAGTGAAAAATACTCCTTGTCATTGGCTCTCATTAGATGTTACCAATTTGACTTGGAACAAAATATTAATTCCTCAGTCTTAAAAACATTACAATATTACCCTGAATTAAGTAGGTTTTTATATTTTTTAATTTATTTTATTTAAAAATTGATATAGAAATAAAAAATAAAACTTGCATATTGTTTCTTGTTTGTACAAAATAAAAAAATCACTTTTCAGCCAATAAAAAATATGAGAACATCTACATTTTACATGTGAACTTTGAACCACAAAAGCACATCTCGTTATAAGAATGTCTCTATCATGAAACTTAAATCTTCATAAGGATTACTCGGTATAACGTAACTGTGCCTGAACTTTCTCACATAAGTCAATTAATAACAATACAAATCTACAACGGGTTGTTTTAACATTATAATAATACTTATATAGCAATTAATAAAATCCATATATTTTTAGAGTAAATTTCCAAAATGGTCCTTTACAATGAGATACATTTCTAATTTAGTCATCAATAAGCAATAATTACCTGTGTGGTCCTTTATAATTTAGATTTGTTCCTAAATGGTTCTCTGTAAAAAAAATATCTATTAAATGTCAGTAAAATATAAATGTATTTTGATATTTTCTATTATCTAGACTTAAAGTATGTTCTCGAAATACTCATAAATAATTAAATATTTTTCCAAACTGATAATTTTTAAGTTAATGTCTTCCCAAAATGGACCTCATGCGCCATGTGAGGGTGGATCCGTTCCTCTAGCAATCACCCACTCAATGGGAAAGAATCATTTTGAGGACTTACTAATAGTTTAGATGATGAAAAGTACAAAAACAGCCTCCATTTAACTGTCATTTAATAAATTTTTTTGACATAGGACTATTTAGGGGTTACATCTTAATTATAAAGGATCACGTTGATAGTTATTGCATACTGAGAATTAATTTGAAAAAACACCCTATTAGAAATGACCGTTTTGAAAATTATACTCATATTTTTAGGTGGAACTTAAATTCATCTAAAAATTTACCTTTACTAAGAATCTTCTGCTTTTTAACCACATGACAGTAATGTTTATTTTTAGGAACAAGCTAAGGCAGTAAATTTTATTTTTGCAGTAATGCTTTAATAGGGTGGAGAAGTACACATAATTTGCTTTGGTGTTGAAGTGGACACAGTGCAACAAAAGAGTGAAAAGAAGACACAGTGCTTTGGGAAGGGCCATACATACTTCTTAATTGGGAAAAATGTCATAAATTTGAGCTGTAAAAGGTTAGACATGAATGCCATGCTTCATATGCTTGTGTATGCTAAAATGACAAACACTATTATATTTCATTCTACAATACTATTTTTGTTGTACCACCCATATTTATTACCTGTGTGGTGAGCTTTAATAATTCAACCGTGCTAGACTTATCCCAAAGATTGTACTTTTTAAAATATATTTCTGATATTTATATCTACATTTTGATAGCTTGCACCGATACAAAATTTTGCATTTCCATTTTGTATGAATGTGAGGCATCAATCTCGTACTTACATTGACACAAAATCTAAGTGTAAAAATTTGGAGTATATTTTGTGTAGAATTCAAATAGAATTGAACTGAATTGTTTCATACTCCCTCCGTCCCGGAGAACATGGGAGTTTTGATTTGAAGAGGGATTTAAGGGGAGTATATTTTGGTATTGAATTTTCAAAAAATGTCCTTTGATGTGATGGGTAAAAGTAAGATTTGATGGACATATTATTAGTAAAAAAATATGATGTGATAGGTAGGGTATGAAAAAGTAAGGGATAAAAGTGACTTTTTAATAGAAATGAGAAGTGTTTTTTGGGACGGATGAAAAAAGAAAGAAGACAGGTTTTCTGAGACGGAGGGAGTATACCACAAACGCTTTATTTATACAAACACAACTCTAACTTAATTACGGGTCACTAGCAGGCCCAATAATACCAAAACCAATTACATCCGCTAACACTTCCTCTTAAGTTAAGCATGAAGTTAACGAATGCAGGACTTGGACAATAAAAAAATGACCAATCCTAAAAACGAACAGCCAAAAATTGATGACTAATGACTCACATACACGTGGTGACATGAGGACGACTAATAAGCATCCCAAACTTAGACGACGTGTACACTGAGATGTGACTATACAACCAACCTCACAAAAGACATGCCGAACATACGACTGGTTGCAACCGAACATACCAAAAAAGCAACAAAAACAATATCATCAAAACGGGCTCGGTCTAACAAGAAAACCTTTCGTGTAGCACGAACAAAGCAAAACTAGACATCCAATCTCTGAAAGTGAACGGCGGCGGAAATATTCGTAATCTTTATATATAAATGTCATCTATCGTAAAATTTTACGATTAATTGTTTTCTAGTAAACACATTTGATGAGCCAACTATCTAGCTAGATGAATCACGAATTCACGATTATCATAAATATTTAATACGAACTATCCAAGAAACCTTCATTTGTCTTGAATCATAGAATAGTCAACAACAATAAAAAAAAGTAAGATTATAGCTTTACAATCTTATATACTTCACGAAATTTTATTATGTTTTATTTACAGTTGAATCTAATGCACCCATAAATGCAATTGGTTTAATTAATAATGGAATGCTGGATAAGCATAATATTGATAATTTATATATATTGATAAATGCATTGTTTGTATATGTTTAATGCTTGTAGTC